CGAATGTAGTTTACAATAAACAAAATGTTTTGATGTGATGAATACACTTTAATACACTTCCAATATTTTCTTCTTGTAACCGAGTCCTAGTTCGTATTAGATTTATATCTAATTGAATTCATAGAGAATGATCACTTAAACTGACTCAAGTATTCCAAGTACTAGACATTAAACGACTAGAAATGGTTTAAATAAGATTGGAAAATTCACATTGAGAAACCTCGCTAAATTGTTTTTTTCATACCATAAGCGTCATCATCATTATCACTCATGTGATTGTTACCTAGATCAAGCGAATTGATCATTTTCACCTTAATCGAAACAAATTAACAGATTATCGTTGTGTTAGTGTTGTATATATATGGATACATATATTATCAAAGTGAACAACAGGTAAACTTGAGACATTCTTCTATGCATAAAGTAGTTGATGACTTTGGTATGTGTTTTTGTAGACTTGTAAGTTATTGATGGTGTGATGAACAAATCGGTTGATACTTATTGTATAATATGGTATGTATGTATGTATGTAGGTAGGTAGGTATGTATGTAGGTATGTATAATATGGTATTATATGCAGGAGAAAACGACCAGTGTAGTAGCAACCTCAGCAACAGTAGGTCTCAATATAAACAAAGGGAAAAGCAAGACTCTCCGATACAATACAACATGTACCAATCAAATTACACTTGACGGAGAAGCTTTGGAGAATGTGGAAACCTTTACATATCTGGGCTGCATCATCGATGAACATTGTGGATCAGATGCAGATGTGAGGGCGAAGATCGGCAAAGGAAGAGCAGCATATTTACAACTGAAGAACATCTGCAACTCAAAACAATTGTCAACCAACATCAAGATCAGAATTTTCAAAACAAATGTCAAGACAGATCTACTGTATGGGGCGGAGACATGGAGAACTACGAAAGCCATGATCCAGAAAATACAAGTGTTTATTAACAGTTGTCTACGCAAGATACTTCGGATCCATCGGTAAGACACTATCAGCAACATTCTGCTGTGGGAGATAGCAAACCAGATTCCATCCAGTGGAGTAAGAAATCAAGAAGAAGTGCTGGAAGTGGATGGGACACACATTGAGGAAATCAGTCAACTGCATCACAGGACAAGCCCTCATATGGAATCCTGAAGGCCAAGGGAAAAGAGGAAGGCCAAAGAACACATTACGTCGAGAAACAGAGACAGACATGAGAAGAATGAAGAAAAGTTGGAAAGAACTAGAAAGGAAGTGGCAGGATAGAGTGGGTTGAAGAATGCTGATCGGCGGCCTATGCTCCATTGGGAGTAACAGGCGTAGGTAAGTAATTAAATGGTTCATTTTAGTTTTATGTATTAGTAGTGTACAGTTCAATTGTAAAACTGTTCGTCAACAATTAGAGGTAAACATAGTTACTAATGAGAAGATATCATGAAGTCTGAATTGTCTGAAATTATAAAATGTTCGAATCTCACGAGGTGGAATCGTGGATGTGTAGTGCTGAGGAGTCCCATAATAGGTCGTCCAGTGCTTCCGAGTTTTTCATGGTGGCTTAGCTACAATTGACTCATGCTTTCAACTATGAAAATACTAAATCTCCACAAAACCCCTGCTGATAATTAATGAAACATTTAAATTTATGGATTGTATATTACTTGTGGGAACTGTAGCTTACCTTAAACCTAACCTGGTCACATTAGTTGTGTTATCCGACATGGTGGATTTCACATGGTTTTCTTGATTACCCTTATTTACTCTTACAATCTATGTGTCTAGTTGACCCCCCCTCCTTATTTCTATATATAAATGTTCTTAACTAGTGTATGTGTGATCAGATTGTTCAAAATGTATTGCATCCATATATCAACACAGTTCTCATAATCTTCATCTTCTTATTACAGTAGTCAACTTTATCAAATAGACTAATCGCTTTAAATATTTATGAATTTTGTCACAGATTAAACTCTCTTTTGATGCTATGGACTGAATTTCCTTGGAGCCAAATAACTTTGAAAATACTGATATTATCTATCAGACTAATCAATATTGTTATATCTTGTGCGTGAGTTCCCAGTTAATATATGACGTGATAATTCCCGCCAATCAGAGAGGAGTGATTTGTCTATCGGATCAATAATACACGAAAACCCGTCAAGCAGTCTAGAGCATTAGTTGGTCTTGCTATCTGCCTAGCCCAGCCAGTTACGTCCAGAACATCAATAACAGTCTCTGCAATATGAATCATTATATTTCAAACATACTGAGTTTTGCATATCAAACAAACTGACCACATTGTACCATAAAACAAAAATAACATAAGATTCAGCCAAATGTGGCTGTGAATAGGGAGAATAGTAAGTAATAGACTGGGTATAACTCGGGAATGGTAAATCGTATAACAACAATCTATGGGTCAAAATAAAGCTTACAATAAGAGGGACACGAATGTGAATAATTGAGTTAATTAACAATTATACAATAGGTAATACACATATCATATTAGTCCATAAATAGTCTTCAAAAGTTACCATTCATAATCCTGTTCAGGATATAACAATTATATTCATATCTTAATCATAAAGTGCTTGGTTTTCACGTCAATCATTATCTATTTAATGAAAAGTCTACATCTAAAATATGGTAATTAAATCAATAGCATAGATTTGATCCCACTAACCTTTTAAACGTTCAACAGATCATAACACCTATTCATATAATCGATCAATGTTTCGTAATGGACAAATTCTTTTATAACATTATTCAACTATTGATTTCGATATCAGTAGTATTATGAAACTTAACACAAAATAAATGAGTACTATTGTAAAACATAGTTAGGGAGGACAATTTTAAAGGGAAGAAAAACGAGAAAAACAGGAAAAAGAAAAAAACAAAAACAAAATGACAACAATGAATGATCAATAGAGTTTCCAAGAAGTAATTTCATTATCATTTCAATAATCATAGCCAATTGTCAGTTTCCATGATAACATGTTTACACATATGAATTTCCCCCTTTATTATCAGTTTTACGATATAATAAAATAGTAATCATGATATATATCCCTTTTAATATTGCAAAAATAAAGCATAGATACATTAATGTAATGATATATTGTTGCATATATTCAGTAATTGCTCGAACACAACCCTAGTTACCATAAGAAGAAAAAGAAGAGAAAAAAAAAGGGATAAAATAAATCAATCAATTTTATGAAGCTCAATTGAAATGTTTAACAAATTGATTATCTAACTAAAGGGGGGTTTGTGAATATTTTAGTAATTTTTTATAGAGTTGAAATCATTAGTCAATTGAAGGTAGAACATCATGGAAAACCTGGAAGCACTGGACGGTTATTTCCTCTTCTTGTGGGACTCACTAGTGACTAGCTTCAAGAGGTATTTCCTGGAGTTCTAATGAGAAGCTGTGATCAGTTGTGAGATAGTAACTCACTTTAGATATTAACACAATCGGATGCTGGCTCAGTGGTCTAGTGGTTAGGCGCTCGCGCGCGAGACTGATAGGTCCTGGGTTCGAATCTCGCATTGTGGATGCGCACTACTGAGGAGTCCCACAATAGGACAAATGACCGTCAAGTGTTACCAGATTTTCCATGGTAGTCTAGCTTTAATTGACTCATGATTTCAACTATATAAAAAAAGATTATCTATCTATTTGATATGCTTGATGGTACTACGAGTTCTTTTTAGTTGGAAAATGAAACGAAGGTCAATGATATAGTGATGGGATAGGCTATGCTTATCCGTTTTGCTCTACCCTGTTAACTAGATCATGAAGTCTTGATAAGGCGTACAGAATTTATTTTACAAGCACTCAGAAAGTACGAGGTCACTAAGCAAATAAACCAAGTTTATTTATACAATGATTGAAACGCTTTTGCGAGTGCCACAAAATAGAGTACTAAAAAAAATCCATCAACCAATAACAGTTAAGGATTTCCTAGTGAGAAATGTAAGTTGTAGGTCAACTAAGTGTTTCTTCGCGCGAAAATATAAAATTGAAATTATCAGAATAAATTTACAAATTAGGACCTTTTCCAGCAGAGTTCTGAGGATCTAACGTCCTCAACACTATTCTTATATAATTAATAATTGTAGCATTCAAATCCTTCTGAATAATTTTCAACCTATACTACCTTATAATAATCAGTCTGTTGTAGTAATTTTTATTATAATAACTATTCAGTCTTGTAGATTGTATCTTCTTTCAAGAGTTGTGTTCTATGGGATGAATGCTTTGCTTGTGAAGCTCTGTTGTCCATCTTAACAACACAGTCAGTCCATATTAAATAGAGAAGATTGTATCTTTCATCAGTATCATGTGTGTGTTGGTCGGTATGTTTCTATATATGATACATATTCTTATCTCACTATAAAAATGAGTCTGTTGTTTTCAGCGATAGAAGCCAAAGTTCAGTTTGATTATTTATTAGTATACTGTTCGTATGCTTGTTTGTATTTAGATGGTGAAAAGCGAATGTCCAGCGCTTCAACCGCGTTTGTGGACACGGAAAGTTCACCCATGGCAGTTAGAAAACCCTGATTCCTAACCAATGGTACACATAGGCTCCAGTATCCTAAGGGAACAAATGGTGTATGAATCAATCGTTGATCACCGGCTACCATGTTTCTTTTATTATCACAAAGTTAACTCTCACAAAATCATCCATTACTAGACATGGTTTACACCGTTCAGCTGGACTCTGATTATTCATTGTTTATACTAAGGTCAATCATTGCCTAATCATCATGAATATTTAAGTACGTGAGTTATTGCTTAACATTAGACTTGAAGGACTTTATGACTCCCAAATTCTGAAAAGTTATCTCATTATCATGTCACTTTAGCAGGTATATCCAGCTGACGAGTCTCAAATGGGACGAAACGCCCGTCCTGGATTCTACTGCTAGCAACTATCCATCTTTGCTTACCATGCTTGTGAATTTAGAATTTAGCCATTAGTTTAAAATAAAAAGCAGTGTTGTGTAGAATATAATTAAGAAGGTATAATAGTTGAGTAATACATTTCATCCAAATAGCTTTCCACTTCGGAACTCTATCGGTAGATCAAAATGGTTACTGAGACACAAAGTTAAGTATACAAACTCAGGGTAATTGATTATTCATAAAGTCCAATTACAAAATAGAAAGACAAGTAGTAACCAAACTCGGGACACTTTCGAGGGGATATATGATGATGATGATTTGGTTGATGATGATGATGATGATTTGGATGATGATGATGATTTGGATGATGATGATGATGATGATGATGATGCTGATGATGATTGTGAATATGATGATGATGATGCTGCTGAAGATGATCATGATGATGTTGACGCTGACAATGAAGATGATGATGATGATTTGGATGATGTTGATGAATGAGTACAAGATCCATAGTTTCCCAATTCTAATAAATAATAAACCAATATTCAACTTACATATCCATATGATGTAGGTTTACATGAATTCGGTATAGGAAATTTCAGTGTTCTATAATTAATAAACGATGATGCACCACAACAACCAAGCTATAAATCAATATTTTGAAAGTTTCAATCTAATCCAATGGAATAGATCAACTTACACTAATTTGTAAATTATTGTATTCATTCTTTATTTCATAATTCTTATGATACTGTACTATAGATTCGTGTAATGAAGTATTGACATTGATAAAAAACTGTAATATAAGAAATTAGAAATCAGATTTTTATTCTTCTCCTTCATTGATCTCAATACTAACCTGATCTTTTGATACAGCTGACATAATACCTGTACTGAATTCAATTAACGCGGCTATAATTAACCCACCAATATGCTTAACAATTAATAATGAAATAAGTATTACTTACAAGTAATATAATAAATTGTTTCTTTTGAAATAATCCAATAAATCCTATAAGAGAAGCAATTGAACCAATTGTCCCAGTAGTTATCACAATTGGAATGATCATCGGTTTAGCACCATGTAAAATAATATGAAATTTAGATAAGTAATTCAATTCTATAATACCTAATGATAAGAGTACAATACTGGATACCTTTAAAAGTAAATTAATCAATAAAATACAAACTTACAATAAATATGAGATTTGATAGAATGATTATAGATTTCCAATATTTTTCTAAATATGACAATATCATCATTGTTAATGATGAAATGAATGATCCTTGTTTATTAGATTTATGATCCTTGTTTATTGGATTTATGATCCTTGTTTATTGGATTTATGATCCCTGTTTGTTGGATTTATGATCCCTGTTTGTTGGATTTATGATCCTTGTTTATTGGATTTATGATCCCTGTTTGTTGGATTTATGATCCTTGTTTATTGGATTTATGATTCCTGTTTTTTCGATTTATGATCCCTGTTTGTTGGATTTATGATCCTTGTTTATTGGATTTATGATCCCTGTTTGTTGGATTTATGATCCCTGTTTGTTGGATTTATGATCCCTGTTTGTTGGATTTATGATCCTGGTTTGTTGGATTTATGATCCTTGTTTATTGGATTTATGATCCCTGTTTATTGGATTTATGATCCCTGTTTGTTGGATCTATGATCCTTGTTTATTGGATTTATGATCCCTGTTTGTTGGATTTATGATCCCTGTTTGTTGGATTTATGATCCCTGTTTGTTGGATTTATGATCCTTGTTTATTGGATTTATGATCCTGGTTTGTTGGATTTATGATCCTTGTTTATTGGATTTATGATCCCTGTTTGTTGGATTTATGATCCCTGTTTGTTGGATTTATGATCCCTGTTTGTTGGATTTATGATCCTGGTTTGTTGGATTTATGATCCTTGTTTATTGGATTTATGATCCCTGTTTATTGGATTTATGATCCCTGTTTGTTGGATCTATGATCCTTGTTTTTCCGATTTATGATCGTTGTTTGTTCTACGTGTGATTGAAATGATCTTGTTGCTAGGTATTCTATATATATATATGCTATAACAGTTTATATATTATTACTTTATATTGAGTCATATAAGTTATATCAGTATTATTGAAAGTGTATGTTCAATAATCTATATCTATATCTATAATACACACTATGTAAATGCTTTTAATTTATCATTTATCTAATTATAGTATGGTAACTTTACTTAAAGTTACCCCATGGTAACAAAAACTGGTAAACGAGTGACATACAGTTTTTTTTTCTATTATTGATTACTTAACAACAACAACAAAAAAAAACATGATACTTTGTATTGTATGCACATTCTATATATGAAGAATGTATTTTATACCTAACTGTCAGCGATATGATTGATTGACATTATAACGATTCAGTAAACAGATCATAACAGTGTTGATTATTATTATCAGAAAGGGGTTTTTTGAGGTTATATTATAGTAGTTTTAGTAGTTGAGATCATGAATCAATTGAAGCTAGATCAGTATGGAAAACCTGAAAGCACTGGATAGTTGTTTTGTCCTATTGTGGGACTCCTCAGCAGCGCGTATCCATGATCCCTCCCACGTGAGATTCGAACTCAAGATCTATCAGTCATGCGTGCGATCGCATAACTTCTAGACCACTGAGTCAACATCCAACAGTGTTAATGTCTAACTTCATATCATATAAATAAATGAATGAATAATTTTTAAAGTACATATTACTGTTATGTTTTTCAAATCCCTTTGGACCCTAGAAACTAATTAATATGAGAATATTTAAAAGGGTAATCTTATCGTTTATGAAACACCATAAACAAATCATTCATGTTACTATGCTCATCATGTGAGAAAACGTGTTGTCCAAATTAGAACCCGGGGCTTATATCCACAATGATAATGAGAGGGAATAGTTTTATTTATTCTCCGAAAAAAGTGTTCATGTTTTCTGTACTATACTGATGTGAACAGAGAAACAAGAAACCTTAACAAACTACGGAAACTATTTTGGGGGATGTTATTTCATTGAATTCAAAGCTTGTATAACAGTAACATTTACTTTTGCCCCTAGTCTATTCTACAGGTCATGAGCTTTCGTTTGATGTATGATTCACTGGCATAGCATTTTCTGTCCCAGAGCTATTGTAATTTAAACGTAACGTTTTGCACTCTATTTTCTACTCTAATGCCCCCCAGTTTTGGACATAATTGTATTTTCCTAATTCTTGTACGTTGTGGTCAGGTTACTCATGTATCTTTTTATACTAATCTGGAATTCGGGTATCAGATCGGATTTTGGAATAAAGAGAGTAGTGTTCAAGTTGTGTTGTCTTTTCTCTCGCGCGTGTGCTTGTCAGCCAATCAGGGATAGAATAGGTTTCGTCTCTCTATCCGCTTTTCGAAATAATGCATACTAGCCTCAACGTTAAGCCAGTTAAACTATCGCGTCAAGGTCTTAATCTACATTAGACAAGTTATCCTCAGCAAGAAAGTGAGTAGACAGATCAAGGACGCAACATGTACAATATATTGAATCATAGTATTTTAAAATGTTCTAATCAAAAGTTGTAGGGCGATAGGTAATTCCCTCAAAATAGTTAACTTCGTAGGTATTCGACAATGACCATCAGAATATTAGTTTTACTGGTTGAAGAAACTCGGTCAAATAACTGTACCACATTACGTTTCAACTCGTCATGGAATGAATCGCTCCTAATACATATACAGCTTATAAGCCACACTCTATGTTACTTCACGATACAAAGGAATCAATTCCTCTACTGACCACCATAACTCTTTAGTCAAATTGATTTTTGGATCATTTTAGTAATAAAGAGATGAGCACTACTGTCACCAAATTCTTCCGTCTTCAAAATATCCGCAGTTGATCCTAATATCATGTTAAGGTTTCGGACCTAAATCGTCTTATCAGTTTGCTGCAGAATTTATCACAAAGTGAGGATCCTCATTATTTACTGACACATCACAACATGTTCTCAATGATAAACTGAGTATTAGAGGATATCATAAACGCATAATGCATAGTACTAAGAAGACAACTAGTGACAATAAATACATGTCACATTCCTATAAATATATCACATTTGAGATGGTGGAGAAGATTTATAGCTGAGGTGGGTGATTTGGATGTAGGTTTGTTCTCTGACCTGCATGGTTTAGTCGTCGAGCTTTCATCGTCCTTCTGAACGACATCATCAGCGCAAATTTTGGGTAGAAGTGAAGTGTTTAAATTTCTCGACATATGATTCACAGCTTGTCCTGTACATCTCCATGTTGATTGGTTCTTATTGATCTTAAATCTGTCATTGTTTATTTCTTTGTTTTGGTTGTACTAATGATATCGGTTGTGCTGATGATGTCGTTCAGAAGGACGATAAAAGCTCTACGACCAAACCATCCAGCTCAGAGAACAAACCTGCATCAAAATATATCACATTTGTTTGAGTTATCTAATGATCTGAGGTATCACCGAATACTTTAGAATAATTAGCTTTTCGTTATCGAAATCTCTCCTATTTACTGGTTTATATGGGTCTGTACTTTGACCTTCGAGAATGAGAGCCATCTTCAAGTGCGTGTTAACTTTAAGGCTATCGAATCGTTTAGTTAATGAGGGATGATTCGTCGATAATTACTCAAACTATGGGACGTTATCACATCTTATAATTTGAAAATATCAGCCTATTAACTAGACATACTTTCTAATTATTTGCGTGGGATAGAACGAACTAATTTTGAATATGGTCGGATTGAAATGCAATGACTATGGATATTTATAATGCACATTTGAATCATGTCCACCTCTTCTATGTTTATGGATTAAGCAACATGTACTTGAGTCGCAGCTCAAAAGTCTACAATTTAAGCGTTTATATACTAGACCGACGGCTCTAGATTCGTTTCCTGTATACAGGATCGTATGTCCCCACTACTGAAGTGTCCCATAGAAGGGCAAAACGACTATACAGTGCTTCCACGTTTTCAATGATTATCTAACTTTGATTAGTTCATGATTTCAATGATATTAATATTTGAGCGAATAATATTCTTTTTGATCAATTCTCTTCAGGTTCTACAACGCCAGTGAACTACGTTTGGTGTTTTCTATGTGCCCAATGGTGACACCGAGGCTTCGAGATGAATTACCTAGAATGACCACCTCATTTTGTATTTATCACTTCGACTGCTCCTGTGGAACAAGTTATATTGGTCGAAGTTCCAGGAATCTACATTTTCGTGCTCGCAAACACCTCCCAGTTTGGCTAATCAAAGGTTTAGTGAAGAAAGTAAACAGCTCGATACTAGCCTATTTATTACAAACTGGTCATAGTGCCAGTATTGAACCAATCCTTTTCAATCATTTTCAAGATCAGTAATTATTTGCTGAAGCTTGTCAGGCTTAAAGTCCTTCAAACGTCTAAGGCAGTAGCCATCAGAATGAAGAAACCTGAGCTATGCTTACAGAAGAAATATCTCCAATCCCTGCTCCTCCCTTGACCAACCACAAGGCCAATGAATCAATAATAGTCTTAGTTATTGGATGACCTGATTTGACTATTGTACTTAAGACCTTTCGTAATCAAATGTTATTGCCTCTTTTCTCTTTATTCACAAAACTTTGTATTATTATTATTATTGGTTAAATATCATTATTAATCTCCTCTGTACATGATTCATTCACTTCACATAGATTCCTCCTCATTACGTCTTACTAATTTTTCACACAATTTAATCTTCCACTTGATCGAATTGTAATTGCACTATCATAGCTTTCTCTCACCCTATCTGACCCATATTTATTGTGATCATGGATCTAAAATTTTTACTTATATACAGATTCAGGTTAACATTCTATATGAGTCATAGCAACAGTAACAATTTTATTCTATTTTATATATAGTTGAAATCATGAGTCAATTGAAGCTACACCACCATGGAAAAACTGGAAGCACTGGACAGCCGCTTCGTCTTATTGTGAGACTCTTCAGCAGTGCGTATCCACGATCCCACACTTTCGAGATTCGAACCCAGGACCTAACAGTCTTGCGCCAGGGCACTTAACCGATAGACCACTGAACCGGCATCCAACGGTGTTATTGTCTAAATTCAACCAATCCACGAACTTGATCAACAACGCCAGAGCAGTTAACCGATAGACCACTGAGCGCGAGACTTGTACGTCCTGGGTTCGAGTCTCGTGAAGCGAGGTCGTGGATGTGCATTGTTTCGAAGTCCCACAATAGGACGAAACGTCCGTCCAGTGCTTCCAGGTTTCCGGTGATGGTCTAGCTACAATTGACTCATGATTTTAACTATGAAAATACTAAATCTCCACAAGAAACCCCTCTGATAATAATATTTGAGTATGTAATCTTGTTTAGAAATCGATTGAAAAACAAAAAATATAAATCAATAAGAGACATACTATTTAATAATTTTGTTAGTAGTATAAATTATTTTTCAACAAAATTACCCCTTCTGATCAAAAATACAAATAACACACATAGATGAAGGGGGGGGGGTAAGTTAACATTAGGGGAAAAAAAGTGAAATGAAATAGCATATTGATGGGTTATATTATATCCTCATTAATTAGTTCAATAATTAATTAATTTTTGTATTACACAAATTAGTCAATATATGAAGTATGTAGTTCAGATTTAGCTACATCAACCAACATCTACATCATTTAGGTCCGGCCCCCCCCCGCCCCGAAAAACAGATTTATGCAGATATATTATTCTTATCAGATTTACGATATAGAAGAATAGAAGTGGCCAAATAGATAGCTTTAATGATAGCGAATGTAATGCATATATATATTATTATCATGATACAATGTTGGATATATTCATATAGGGCTTCAGCACAACCCTGTCAAAGATAAGAAAATTTAATAAGTTAGTTAGATATAGAGAGACACTTCAAAATTAATCACATTAGGACACTAAAACTGATGTAACATATGAAGAATAGCATATGACTGTTTATC